GAGAGAGAGAGAGAGAGAGAGAGAGAGAGAGAGAGTTAAACAACTCCCGTGCCACCAGTGTTCCTTCTAGGCATATCACAAATTTGCAAACTTAAGAGTAAATACATCCTCTGTTTCCACGAGGAGTCTGTCATAGCAATTAGTTCTCTTTGTTTTTACATATGAAGGTACGAAAATAGACTGGGGGTGGCCTAGAGTTCATTCCATCATTGATGATGCATGAGAGGCTTGTGCTTGCAATTATATTTAGCAACAAGTGCCATTGTTCCCCTAATTTCCAGCTGAAGTTGGACAATGTAGCCTTGCTTTTGAGGCCACCTTTTTGGGCAATTATCAAAGGTTGTTGGGTTGGTTATTGTGCTAGTTGTCCTTCAATGTTTCATGACTCATGAGTAGTAACCTGCCTACCAAAATAGTGTACCATCCTAGCTAAGCTTTAATGGGCAGAGGGAGAAAGGTGATAGTACTTAGGTAATGGTACCAATGCTACTAAATCAGTTACTTTAATTTAAAGCTCCAACCAAGGATGCTAATTGAGTTGACTTTTTTGAGTTTGAAGATGTTCACATTCGATTCATCATTTGTGACTAGTTGAGCTTGAGCCGAACTCCATTGTCCAGGTTAGATTCTTGCTCACTGTTGAGTGTTTAAAAGTTTATGTATATCTATGTTACTAATAGAAAGAAGTTAAATGAAAATTTTTGATTATTTATTATGTCCCTATAAAAAATATTAAAGGCAGCTATATTCTTATTTATTTAATAACCTAATATTAATTATATATTCAAATGACTCTTCATATAGTTCCATTTTCACAAGAATTATTGTTTCATGTATTACATTTTTTTTTATTTTCTAATGGCTTAATATTAAATATATATTCAAATGATTTTTCTTATACTTCCATTTTCACAATAATTATTGTTCCATGTATTATACTTTTTTTTTTAATTTCTTGTGTTAATGAAAGCTCTCTCTCTTTTATTTACTTCTCATAAACTTTTTTATTTACAATAAATCCATTAATTATCTTTACTTTATGATAAATAATAGATTATCGTTAATATAACTATTATGCCATCGATAACCATCATAAAATTGATTTTATCACTCACTAATATGAGCTGATGTGATGCTTTGTAGATTGTTTAAATTCCTGGCAATAAATATATTAACTAATTAAATTGAATTTGAATCATTTCATCTTCCATTTTATGGGTGCGTGGAAAGCTAATAGTCAGATATTCAATCCCATGAATTTTAATCACAAATTAATCATAATATTATTCTATTCCTCTCCCATGATCTCATACTCACTTTTTTTATCTGGTTGTAAGTTATTGCTCTTTTCATATGATTTATGTTTTGCCTGAAGCTAGACTTGCCCTAACATCTTGAAAATTTTCTTCTTGATTTGATAAGTGTTTTTTTATTTATGAACAAGCGTGATCAATTGTGGATATCACAGTGAAAATGACATCTTGAGATTTATTTACTCTAAACCATATACTTTCTATGTATTTAATTTTCATGGTAATAGGTTCATTTTTTGTTTAGCACTGAAACTCATTTTGCGTATTTAGCATTATATCTTGTGTGTAGAAAAAATACGTGATTCTTCTCATGTATTGAATACTTGAAACGAGATCTTCCATCATCTGGATCATGGTTTGACAAGATTTTTAAATATGATCGGTTCTATTACCTTTGATAAACTCTCCTTTAATTTATGCAATGCAAGCATTATTATCTTCATATAAGGTTGTTGGTGAATCTGTAATCAAAGAGAGTTTGCAAGTATCTCGGATGTGATGAACTACAGACCTTAGCCACACACATGCACGACTTGCTTCATTGAGTGCAAAAATCTCAGAATGATTGAAAAATGTAGTAATTAAAGTCTGATGGGTAGATCGCCATAAGATTGTTGTGTCACCACATGTGAAAATATACAAAGTTTATGAACAAGCCTTGTGAGGATCTGATAGGTATTCAGAATATACATATTCGACTAACTGTAGATCATTGACTGATTGTTTTAAGTATAACAAACTCAAATATGTAGTTCCACGAAGATAGCGTATGACATATTTTATGTCATTCTAATGTCGTCGAGTTAGTGCAAACCTAAATCTTGCCAATAAGTTTATTGCAAATGCTATATCAGGCCTAGTATATTATGTTAAGTATAACAAAACATTAATTGTACCTAGGTATGGTACTTCAGAACCAAGAAACATTTTATTTTCCTCCTTTGGACAAAAAGGGTCTTTAGTGACATCAAGAGATCGAACGACCATTGGAGTATTTAATGGATATGCTTTATCTATGCTAAACCGCTTCAGGACCTTTTCGGTATAGGTTGTTTGAGAAATAAGAATTTCGTTTAACGTATGTTCAATTTGCAGGCCGATACAGTACTTTGTTTTTTCAAGATCTTTCATTTCAAATTTTTTTTTTCCAAATATTCAGCAGCTTTTATCAACTTTTCAATAGTTTTAATCAGATTCATATCATTAACATCTACTGCAATGTAGAAAAATCTAGATTCTAATTTCTTAATAAATATACATGGGCGTATGAGATTGTTAACATACCCATCCTTTATCAAGTACTCACTGGGACGGTTATACCACATTTTTCCAGATTGTTTCAATCCATATAAAAATCGTCTTAGCTTAATTGAGTACATTTTATGTGATTTTGATGTGTTTGCTTCAAGCAATTGCAATCCTTTATGGATTTTCATATAAATATCAATATCTACTTTTCAATATAAATATGCAGTAACAATGTCCATAAGATGCATGTCGATTTCTTTTGAGATTTCTAGACTAATAAGATATTGAAATATAATTGCATCAATAACTAGTGAGTATATTTTTTCATAATTAATCCTAGGTCTTTGCAGGAACCCTTGAGCCACTAAATGTATTATATGTTGCATATTTTTTTATTTTTTCTTTCATATAAATACCATTTATATCCAATAGACTTTACATCTTAAAGTGTTGGACTACGGGTCCAATTTAACAACTTTCGATGTTTTAAAACTACAGGTCTATATGTACATCTTCGGGTATATTATACTGCGGGTCCAGTATTTTGTATTTTATTAGTAGGGTCAAAGTTAATTGATTTTTTCCACTTTGATTAATCATTTCTATGTCGACAATCATATATTGTGCATGGTTCAAGATTATCACCATTTTAGATTTCAGTAATTATTATATCATTGATGATTATTTTTGTGCATTCCCACAACTCATCTATGTATGCATACTTAATAGAAATTTATTCGTTTACAAATATTTATATCTCTTTAAGAGTTTGTGTCTTTTCAGGGACTTTCCACTTCATGGGTTATTATTTGAGATGATGTGGGTGCATTTTCATTTTCTACTTCAATAACCTTTTCTTAAGTTGTATGTAGTTGTCCTTTAAGAGCTGAATCTTTTGAACGTATGCGTCGACCACGCTTCAGGCGTGTAAGAGAGTTCACGCTGTTCTTCAGGCCACGAATTTCCTCCTCCTAATGGCATGAAGAGTGTCTTATTTTTCTTTTGTACTTACATAACTTCATGAGATCTCATTATTTTTAGGTATCTTTGCCTTTGCATGAGATGCCTCTTTAGGAGATTTCTTTTTAGGAGATTTTAGTTTACTAATTTTGAATTGATCAATATTTCTATCGCCTACTTTGTGGGTGTGACCTCTTCAGGGGTACCAACTTTTTTTTATGTAACTTCCATTGCATATTTTTCTTTGGCCTTTTCAGGAGTCCCAACTTCCTTCGAAGTAATTAACTTTTAGAGTATTTGTCATTATTTATTCCTCTTCTGGGGCATCTTGTCTATTGTTATGACAAGCCTTTTACGCTTACAGGGCATGTTTGTTTTAAGGATTATTTATAGGTGGTATTAGAAATGATATCCATTCCACTTCTACCCAATGAGATACTATACATAGTCTTAAACTTTTATCCTATCCTTCCCCTTGTTTGTTTCTTACAAAAATTATTTGTGTGATACCTACCTAAAAAGGCATGTCAGATGAACTATTCAATGTAAAAAGACAATTGTAACCTTATAATCCAAAGCAATCCATGCCCTTGTTTGTTAGTACAACCACCTGTGCATGACTAAAACCAAAAACCTTATTTTTTTCCCACATGGTTTGCATGCACTGTTGAATCTGTCTCCCAGGTAACACACACACACACACACACGAACATATTTTNACACACACACACACACACACAGACGAACATATTTTACACACAAAAAAATTCCAGCAACAACACTATTGAATCTGTCTTCCAACCTTAACACTACAACAACTTAGCCCCTCAGCCCCATTGGAACAATGTTTGGACATCATTTCTAGCACAATACACACAACACTGTCATTCCCTTAAAAAAAACAAAATGAATGCACAATACATCAACATATGTAGTGCACCAAAGTACATCAACTGCCACTAAATATAAGATACTAGTGCAAGGAGCTAAGAGCCACCAAATAGCAATAACTGCTGGCTCCACAAGCACTTCTAAAACATCCACCATAAATTTTTTTACATACATAATATAAACAGGATAAGGGGATTCTCAAAAGATGAAACTCTCCAAGACTCTTGAACAACAACTACTACCACACGCATTCATACCAAAAAAACCAAAATAGCATGTGGAAAGCATATTTTACATACAATCATACTCTGATAGGGACTAAGCTTAATCAGAAACATCGATAATCTCTATGTCTTCTACTGGATCACCACCTGAACAGGAGCCCACACTTTCAATCAGCTCTTTTGGGGACACGTTGTCGAAAACCTCCATCATTTTCTCGAACAAATGACATGGATCAATGCAATGTGTTCTTGCAAACTTGTTTACCTACAAGTTAATCACTCTTAAACACATCAAGAATTCAAGCGAATGTGAAAACAAGTTAAACAAAGAGACATAAGATGATATTCATTAATATAGTTTTGAAATAAACACTTACCACAAGGTAGTCATGCGCTCCAGCGATAGGCCCATCGATGACGCACGAGTCAGTCGAGTCCCAAGCAAACATCCTCGTCTTCAACATATCCTTGATAGTGAAGTATTGATTTTTCCAGAAAAAAATAATCTTGACAAGATCAGTTTGATCAATGTAAAATCTAGGCAGTCTCCTTTTCATGCGCATTAACACATCCCTGAAGAGTTGGGTTGTCATGTTGCCTCGTTCAAGTACTATGCCCCATTGTTTGTTTCGAAGCAACAACGCCATCAACACTTCACTTTCCACATCACTAATTCGAGGAACCTACATTTTCTACATAATATTGTGCAAACCAATTGCACAAACCATTGACACCACCAATTTATACAAATTCATTAAACAGTACAATCATATCATAACACAAATAGCATTTACAAAAGAAATCCATTCATAATGTTACCCATATTCATACATTCCCTATTTAATGTCAAAACATAGGAGGTAACATTACAAACACTAACCATAAATATTGTCCAAAAGGTGCCAAACAAAATACAAACATAGTTCAAGAAAGTCTACCCAAAAAAAAGTAAAGAATATGGGTTAGTACCATACCCAAAACAAACATCACAACATACATGAGATAGTTACCGACATTACGGTCTCCCTCGACCTCGTCATCGCACCCAACAACTGCTGGGGATGCTAGAGGAATGTCTATTGCATCTTCTACACAAAGATTATCCAGAGGTTGATTTTGATGGACAACCACTTCACATTCATGTTGGACATCTCTGACTACATCTTCATTCTCAATGGACGTGCGCAATGCGTTTTCAGCGTCATCGTACGAATCATAAAACTTGTACCATGTGCTCGGGTACCTATTCACTTGCATATAACATTTTTGTCATGTCGTATAGACACCAACTTGTCTTCCAACAAACATAACGTAACCATATTTTACATACGGGCATAGGTAAACAAGCAAAAAAAGTGGAGAGTATACAATGCTACTTTATAAGGTCTATATGACTAATTTCACCTATATCAAGTCAAAAAAAAAAAAAAAGTACCATACTTAACCCCTACACTTGTTGGTGGCTCGATCCGTACAACAACTTCCTTACCCAAGAAGACTTTGAAGCGTCAGACAAGCTAAAGAATAAGTCCACCTTAACCGGATCAGAGACAATTCTGTAACCAGCCTCATAGAGTAGATCCTCATCAAGCCACCCACTTTTCTCATGCTCAGCAAAGATTCTTCTCCTCGATTCAGAAACATCTTGGGCATGGCCTACCCTATGTGCAATATTATTGAGCTTACGCCCACAAGTATCAACATAATCACCTAAGACCCTTGTCATATCACCCAAGCTACGTACAATGACCTCGGCAGCTGTTGAAGCCTTTCTCTTCTTCGTCTTTTTGGTAGTGGGGTTGTCAGTGGAAACATTCATGCCTTTAGTCGTACTATGACTTGCCTCATTTGTCTCATTTTCAATGTTAATGCTTGTTGGGTTTGGTCTGCTTCCTTATTGTCATTCCCTCCAAACATTTCATCAAGATCCTTCTCAAATTCTCCTATTGCGTGATCTTTGCCAAAAATAAATCCCCAATCTTTGTAGTATGACCAACATTTTTCACGCATCCTCTTAGCCTACATATCCTTCTACAAAAATTATACCATAAAAGAACATGCCTCGAATAAGTGGAGTACTAAAAATAACAAAAAACCTCTATTAATTAAAAAGTGGTATATCAGACCAAATTACCTTTAAATACTCTTCCCAAACATCATCAAAATTGACCTCGATTTTGTTATCAGTGTCATTAAACCTGAAACCACTCGTGTTCATCATAGATAGTATACAATTATACTGCCTCTTCCACATTTTATCTTTGATTCAATGTGTGGTTGTGCACGAAGCGTACTGCTGCCAATTCTTTGTTCTAGCATCTACAAATAACTTGGCCTGAATGTACCATTAGGACACTTCAATCCTGCTACACATAGATTCTTTAGTGCGTATAATAGTTGTCTTTTCTGTATATGTCCATATTCGCCTGGTACTTTTTTTTTCACTTGAAAACCACTCATAACATGCGAGCTACCAATACTAACCATATTCTATGATGAACACGAACATATATATATACACACACACATGTATTTATCAGTCTAAAGCGAATATGTAATGTAAAATCAATTACAATATGACAAATGTAGAATATATTTCATAATAACAGTATCAAATAAATTGTATTACATAACATTCAGGACAACCATTAATCAAACCAAACGAAGTACCAATAACACATTACAAATATATTAGTCATTTAGTCTACTAATTGAAGGTCGCAAAATAACCACACCCCCCCCCAAAAAAAAAATTTATCTACCCATCTGTCATGCCTCGTACATTTCATTTGCCAACTGAGTCCTCCAAGTAGTCTATGCAGTAGAGGTCTCAACAATGTCAACTACATTGGTGTTGGTATTTCCATTTTCCTCATTAAGAACATACTCAGGTATGTGGTCTTCCAATGGATCAACTGACATCTCATTTCTAATGAAATTATGTAACAGACAACAAGCAACAATAATTCTGTTATGTGTGGGGACTGGGTAGAAACAGACAGTTCGAAGGATTGCCCATTGCATCTTAAGGATAGAAAAACACCTCTCAATAACATTCCTGGCAGAGGAAACTGCCCTTTCACTTCCAAATTCGTCAAGATGGTATCGTTGACCCCTAAAAGGAGATAAGAAACCCTCACCATTGGTATACCCAGCATCACATAAATAATATGTACCTGTCTTAATTGTGTATATACCTATTAGTAAACAATTTCCAAAAAAAAAATGACTAATGCTAAAAATTTGTACTATAGCTTACCTTGTTGAACACGTAACCCAGTACGTCTTCTAACTGCGTCGAAAAGGATTCTAGAATCTGCCATTGATCCCTCCCAACCAAGTAAAACACAAATGATTCTCATGTCAGGCGCACATACACCTAACATATTTGTTGCAATTTGTCCCTTCCTTGTTCTATATCTTGCTTGGTGCACAAGTGACACTTTTACTCTAATTTGAGTGTTGTCTAAAGCCCCAACACAGTTCTATACAATAGGAAACAAATATATTATCAACTGATATTTCGCTAACTACATACTACATGACGTGACAACTCAAATGTGGATATACTTTTAAAAAAACTTAGAATATCTTAAAAAACTTCCACTTGTGGTCAATGCATTCATCTGTGATTGGATCAGGGACTGCAAGCAGTAATTGATGTAACCTAAGAAATTCCAACAACACTGCATTGAAATACTTGCCAACCGTCTCACTGGATCTAATGAAACTGAATTTTACTTGTCTATTTTTATTATCATGACTAATAATGCTTAAGAACATAGCTACCATCTCTTTAATGCTAATATTCTTTGTACGACTGAGCTCACCAACTTGTTCAACTAGTTTGACCAATATAGAAAAACATTGTTGGTCCATCATAAGTTGATTGTAGCGTGTTATATTACTTTCACCTATCAGTCTAGTAAGATGCTCTATTTGTAGTCGGGTTCACGTGACTAAGCTTGTGATCCTATTGTTGTTTTGAATTTCATGAAATTCTAGCAAATTTACAATTATAGCAATCAGACATGAGCATATCATAACCATATCAAAGAGGACACTATCCAAAACAACCACCAATGACACACTGAAATCATTGTCTTCATCCATAACAACTGTGACTCACACAAATTACAGTAAACATCCACAGCCAACAAGTAGCGCTAGTTATGGAGCGCTTTGAATTACCAAAATAAAACATATTATAGGAACAAGCATGCATTAGATATCATCACAACAAAGAATACATCTTTTTTGTTAAAATATAAAAAATCATAATCATTGGACTAAAAATAAAATCATACAAACATTCTGGGCATTATAAGGGCTAAAATATAGATAGGGGCAATGTTTTGCAACAAATAAGAAAACAAACTACCCAAAAATCAAATAAGTCCAGCAACTAAAACAAGGAAAAAAAAAATTGTTTGCCTTGTATTTCACTTTCCAAAAAGAAATGGTTAAAAAAATAAAAAATACCAAAATTTGAAAAGTTCGGACATTCTGGGGGTGTATTTCACCAGCGATTGAGAAATTAGAAGACCAAAATACCATAGTTCGCAACCAATCTTCCCCACAGAGGTCGACATAGACCAGATTGTCAACGATCGTTTCCCCATTTTACACCATTAACACAACATTAGCNTAGTAAATATCCGAGTAGACCAGGTCAATGCCAGAACTTGTTTGCTAGCCTCGCTCAAACCCAAAGAGGGGTTGAAGCTCAAGAGAAAAGCTTAGTGCCCAAGGAGGTGAAATAGCAATTAACTTTTGACAGCTCGTCACTCTTCTGCGAGAATATGACAACATTTTTTCATGGGCCACTACCGATATGACTGGCGTACCACCCGAAGTGGCATGTCACTAGTTGAACATCGATCCGAGTTTCAAGCCAGTTAAGTAGAGGCTAAGAAGGTCGGCGCCCCAACATCAAGTCGTAGTGAAGAAGGAAATAGCACATTTGTTGGAGTCACAAACAATTAGGGAGGACAGTATCTGACCTGGCTATCAAACACTGTCGTTGTAAAGAAGAAGAACGGGAAGTGGAGGGTCTGTGTTGACTTCACCTACCTAACAAAGCTTGTCCGAAAGATAGCTTCCCCTTACCGAAGATAGATCAGTTGGTAGATGCCACCGCTGGGCACGAGCAGATGAGTTTCCTAGATGCTTATAGGGGTTGCCATCAGATCCCCCTAGCAGAGGAAGATCAAGAAAATACTGCCTTCATAACATAATTTGGAATATACTATTATAAAGTAATGCCCTTCGGATTAAAGACTGCTAGAGTGATATATCAGAGGTTGGTAAATAAAATGTTCTCACATATGATAGGCAATACAATAGAAGTTTATATTGATGATATGGTAGTTAAGAGACAGAAGGCTACAAGCCACTGTGCCAACCTCAGAAGCACATTCAATGTTCTATGAGGAAGCAATATTAAATTAAATGCTTCAAAATGTGCATTTGGGGTCGGCTCAGAGAAATTCTTGGGATTTTTGCTTACTCACCGAGGAATAGAAGTGAACCCCGAGCAAGTGAAGGCCATTGCTGAACTACAATCACCTCGGACCATAAAGGAAGTATAGAGGCTAATAGGAATGGCAGCAGCACTCAGAAGATTCGTATCCCGCGCATCTGATAAGTGCAAGCCCTTCTTCCAAGTAATCAAAGGGAAGAAGGGAGCATTTTGGAATCAAGAATGTGAGGAAGCATTTACAAATTTGAAGGCATACTTAGCATCTCCACCGATTCTATCGATCTCGTCACCCCAGGAAGAACTTTACCTTTACCTGGCTATATCAGAGCACGCTGTAAGTGGGGTATTAATGAGAAATAATTGTGGAAAGCTGAAACCCATTTACTATGTGAGCAAGATGCTCTTAGATGTAGAATCAAGGTATACTCCATTGGAAAAACTTATCCTAGCACTGATTAGCTCTGCTAGGAAGCTCAGACATTACTTCCAAGCCCACCAAATCACAGTGCTTACTGACCAACCATTGAAGTCACTCTTCCATAGGGCTGATCTGTCAGGACTTGTTGCTAAATGGGTGGTGGAGCTAAGGGAGTTCGATGTCCGATTTGAACCAAGACAGGTGATAAAAGGCCAGGTAGTGGCAGACTTTATTGCAGAATTTCAACCTAAGGATAGCTTGGAGCAGAATGAAGAAACTAATTACAACTGAGAGTCAAGCCTCAGCGGCGGTTGGATACTTTCTGTTGATGGATCTTCAAATCATAAGGGTGCTGGCATTGGTATCACGCTTGTGAGTCTGGATGGATGTACAATGGGGAAAGCTATCAGGATATGCTTCGAGGCCTCAAACAATGAAGCTGAATACGAAGCAGAGGTTATCAACCGAATTGGGGGCAATAAAAGTCTAGATATTCTCTGATTCACAGTTGGTGGTAAATCATATAATAAGGGAGTATACGACAAAAGGATGAAAGAATGATTGCCTATCATGCCATTGCAGAGAAAGAACTGAGCAAAATACCTGAATACTCCATTCAGCAGGTCAGAAGAACAAAGAACTCGCACACTGATGCTCTTGCTTTATTAGCCTAGGCCATTCACCAAGAAGTTGAAAGGACTCTTACTGTTGAGCTCTAATCCAAACCTAGCATTGTACCAACCAACACTAATGAGGTCTTGAGTAACTAAGTCAAGTCGAGTTGGATGGATCCCATCATCGACATCTTAAAAGATGGAACTATGCTCGAAGACAAGAAGGAAACTCACAAGCTATGCCTGAAAGCTGCTAGGTTCTGGTTATCTCCAAAAGGTGAGCTTTACCGATGCTCGTTTGGAGG